AAAAAAAAGAATCCAATCTCTACAACAACCCGGGCTTTTATTTATTTATTTATTTATTTATTTATTTATTTATTTATTTATTTATTGAAAGGGGATTGAAAAGGACTGGTAAAAAATGCAGATTGTGGGCCTTACTGAAAAGGATTGGTAAAAAAAAAAAGAATCCAATCTCTACAACAACCCGGGCTTCGAACACGGGACCTTTCGGATGTTTTCTGAATGATTTTCGAATATGGGACTTTCTCAGTTGTTAAACTGTAGGCTTTGAACTCAGGACTTTTCGGCTGGTAACAGTAGTTGTTAACACTGTTGATGTCAGTAGGATTGAGCACGTGATCTCTTTTCTATCGGATGCCTAAAGTTTTCATTGAGTTCGTTTTTGGCCTCGAACCCTGGTCGTTAACGTTTTCTGTTGAAGTAGTAGATGAAGTTGAGGAATCTGAGGTCCGGTGTTTGAGAACCTTGAGAATGTTTTTCGCATTCATTGTTTTCTGTTTTTTGATGGTATCCTCGAACTCTTGTCGATATACGGGTTGTCTAAGCTGTTGTAGTGGAAGCGGTAGTAGAGAGGGTGGCGGTTCGAATCTGTACTTTTTTGTGACTAGGCTGTCCTATGACTAATGTGTAGGGCCTATTTTTGGCCGACGTTTCAAGTATATATACGCCTAGGTTTAGATTAAATGTCACCTGCGACTAAGACCCCTGATGAAGACTGGTTGGCGGGCCAGTCGAAACTAGTTGGGTCCTACCGTTATGCTTCATGCTACATTTTGTTAAAAGTACCGTTCGGGGATTTTCTGGCGTATTTTCTCCTTCCTCCTCCTCTCTTCTTCTTCTTCTTCTTCTTCTTCTTCTTCTTCTTCTCCCTCTTCTTTTTCTCTCTCTCTGCCTGAGTGATGTCTATATTGGCGTGGTGATCTATTGTCGTGTGGGAAGCAGTGTCGTCTGAAGACTGTTGCCAATCAACTACTTACTGCACTAGGAAGCAAAGGTGCAAAAAAGGAGAACGAAACTTCCGCTAGAACATGGGAAAAAGAAAGATACACCGCCATATTTTTTTTGTCTTTTGTGAATGTGGAGAGTAGAGAAGTGAGGTCCTGTATCCAATACGATACACGGACAGACCCTTTTCGAACTGCCAGTCGAGCGAAGAAGCCTCTTCCTTCTTGAAATGAATTTTTGCCCTGCCCTACGAAATCCGAACGGGGGGGGGGGGGGGGGGGGGGATTTGCCTGGCAACGCCACCCTAAGATTTATCCGACGCTGACACCGGATCATTCCGCAACCCAGTGTTAACCAGAAGGATTTATTTATTTATTTATTTATTGAAAATGAAGGGTTCTTTCTGATGGCTGAGCCGGCGACTGGCAGTTCAATAACCTGAAAGATTTTGAGTCTTTTATTTTATTTTTTGTGATAACCTGAAAGATATAGCACGTGTATTTGATAGACGAAAAGAGCTGTGCCGGAAAACTTGCCACCGTTGAAGCGCACTTTATCCCATTTAACCACATTTGGTCGTCCATATTGTGGGCCTGACTCCGCTACTCAACATTCGAAACGTATCTAGACTGCACATCAACCAGATACATTCGAACGGAATCAAACATGATTTCGAATGTACCGGGCCACAATTAGCTCTGAATACATTTAGAAAAAATGTTATGCAGTGTAGCGGGCCCTTTGGTTCCCCTTTTGGCGGATTGACATCCGCGAGTACCAGGTAGTAGACACCTGACACTGCTGACAGAGGGCACAAATTAACACCTGACACTGCTGACAGAGGGCACAAATTAACGCTAGAACTTTATGGACCGCACCTGACCCTCATTTTGACCATATGCATGAACGAAAGTGACTCCTGGTGGACTTTGTGGAACTTTACGGACTGCATCTGACCCTCATCTCGACCATATGCATCAAGGAAAAGCTTGGTGCAAATAGGCCGCGTTTCGCATCCACATTGCTGCCACCTGCTGGAGAGCATCACCCCTGACCGATGGATGCGGACGACCAGCGCCATCTGACAGCCTGAAGTGGATGTAAGTTTGTCCGCCTGTGGAATTTTCTGGATGTATCTGACAGAAATGCGGGTCGTATACATGGATCCCCTCCAGTCTTCACCTCCATAAGGATCACCTGTCTGTTCCGGACCCGTGTCTTATGGAAATCTGCTTCGCGAACAACCACCTGCAGTAGACTCTCCTGGATGTATCTGACTGAAATGAGGGTCATATACATGGACCGTCAGGGTGCAGATTCAAAATCCAATCCTGCAGAAGAGTCACGCAATCCCAAATCAGGAATTTCACGAAACGTATCTGACCCAACTGAGGATCAGGTACATGAAATGGCACATAACAACAAACAATTCATGACATGGATTCCCCCCTCCGGATCGAAAAAAAATTCTAGAAAATGTGAAACGGCTGTGGACAGAACCGGAACTCGATTACCCAGTGCGATTGCCGATCGGTGAACAGGATCGGACCCGCTGACCGCTGATTTGAGCATAGTAGTACGTGTGCCGCTGTGCATACTACATGGTTGGGCCTTCCATTAATACACCTGCCAGGCCCATCCTCGAAGAAACCATCATGCAGATTGACGACTCGGAGTCCGATAGCCCAACCTTGAAGAAACCATCATGCAGACTGACGAGTCCGATTTACCAGAGTTCTGGAGCAAGACCGGGTGCACATACATAGACAGTTGACTCTTCCGGCGGGCGACCCAGCAGGCCCGGCCTTTGACGAACCAGCAGGATGCGGCTCCACGAATCGGCATGCCTTCAGTGCCGGAAAGCGAGCAGACGTGTGCGTGCATACAGGGCTGGGCCGTCCTGCGAGCCCCAACAGATCCAACCTTGGAATTCTTCAAACCAGCATGCAGATCGATGAATCCGATGAACCCGACCGCAGAGAGCAAGACTGGGTGCGCATACATAGTCGGCTTGTCCGGCGATGCGATCCAGCGGTCCCGGCTTTAGATGAACCAGCATGCAGAGGAACCAGGATGCAGCTCCACGAATCAGCAAGCCTGCGCAGTGCGCACACACATGTAACAATGTGCCGGAGAGAGCGAGCCTGCGCGTGCATAATGCGTGGCTGGGACTTCCGCAGAGCTGCAACAGGCCTGACCTCCCCACAAACTGGCATGCAGATCGATGAATCGAATTGGCGGATTAGCACCCAATTCAAGTGGCACAGGCTGTGGGTGTCAACACATAATTAGGTCCTCCGTATTGTACCCTGTGGCACGCTCCGCCTCGGATGAACCAGGCTCAGCCTGCCGAAGTGTGCGTATACACATATTATGCCAATCATGTGCCGAAGAGAATACATAGACTAAGTACGTGTTTTCACACGACTCGGCCCTTCCGTTGAGCCCCAATATGCCTGCCCTTGAATGAACTGGCATGTAGATTCGCGAATCGAATCGGATTACCCAGTGCGAGCATAGTTGGGTGTGGACGCATAGTTGGGTCCTTTTCCGGCGACCTCACAGGCCCGGCCTTGGACAAACCAGGCTCCAGATCCATGAATCAGAGTGCCTGCCTGCCTGCCTGCCTGCCTACCTAGCGCGCGCACACATGTAACAAACCTGCAATACTTGGTTGGGCTTTCCTGTCATTCCCGGCAGGCCTGTGAGTGCAGGCACACTCTATCGGTTGGGATCTTCGTTGCTGAAACATGATCGCGATCGGCGATCGGCTTTATATATACTTCACGCTGCATTAAAAAAACGAAAAATTATTTGACAATTCCTCTATTTATTGCGCAAGAGAGGAGGGCGGGGGGAGGGATGCTTATATCCCCTGACAGTGTGTATCGTTCCAATTTGAACGAAATGAATGTTCTGGGAAGGACGGCCGCGTCACCCTGCATGGGTGCGGAAAGCAACACCATCATGATGGCCGAAAGCAAGTACCACAATCAGCAAGACCACCATCATGATGTGCACACTTGCTACGAAACATCGGAGAAGACGAGAACATTTCAGCAAGACCCTTCTAGTGTCATAACAGCTGGCAGTGCGCGATTTGCGGTGGTGTTGAAAGTGATATCCGCATGAGATTCCACCATCATGATGACCGAAAGCAAGTACCACAATCATGTGCCCCGAGCCGTCCTCGCCACAGGTTTACCCAATGCATCTTCTTCCTCCCTTTTCTGCGAAAGCATCGCAGTCAATTGCGGACTCCGATTGCGCCATAGCCAAGTGCGAACGGGAGCTGAAAGCTGAATGCTCTCAAGGTCTTATTTGTCTTGCTTGTGGTGCCGCCATGACGTGACATGATTCTGAACACGTCCGAGATCTGCAGAACAGTTATACTGCTTGTGGTACCGCCATGATGTGACACTTTCGGCTATGGCAGAATTACAGCGTTGTAGTACTCTTCCTCCTCTGTGCTTGGCTATGCGAACGCTTTGCAACAGTTACTACTGTCGTTGGGTCGCAATTCCAACCTAGCGGAAAGTGGGCGAGCTCTGCCTTTCTTGCGTGCGCCTGACTGAACTTGAATCAGAAGTTCCTTCACTTTTGCGTTCAATCGACCATTGATCGCCTGCTCGTGCCTCATTGCCTTCATCAACGACTTCATGCGGCCGATACTGTCTCGCAGCGCTTCAGCGACTTCCACTTGCAACATGCGCTTCTCGTTATTCCTGGCGCAACTTCCTGCCTCGAGATTTTCTTCGTCAGGCAGTCGACCCAGGGCCAGACTTCCCTGCAGCTCTGCAAGCTCACACCGCAGCACAGTATTCTGCACATTAAACAAAGCAAGCACATCACCAACACAACCACCACACTGGCAAACACACACACAGAAACACACACACACACAAAGAGAGAGAGAGAGAGA